AATATAGTGCCCATCTATAAAAAGGGAAATAAGAACAACCCAGGAAACTACAGACCAGTTAGTTTAACTTCTGTGCCAGGGAAGATAATAGAGCAAGTAATTAAGGAGATCATCTATAAACACTTGGAAAGTGGCAAGATGATAGGGAACAGCCAGCATGGATTTGTAAAGAACAAATAATGTCAAACCAATCTGGTAGCTTTCTTTAATAGGATAACAAGTCTAGTGGATAAGGGAGAAGCGGTGGATGTGGTATACCTAGACTTTAGTAAGGCTTTTGATAGGTCTCGCATGTTATTCTTATCAATAAACTAGGTAAATACAACTTAGAGGGGGCTACTATAAGGTGGGTGCATAACTGGCTGGATAACTGTACTCAGAGAGGAGTTATTAATGGTTCACAATCCTGCTGGAAAGGCATAACAAGTGGGGTTCTTCAGGGATCTGTTTTGGGACTGGCTCTATTCAATATCTTCATCAACTATTTAGATATTGGTATAGAAAGTAGGCTTATTAAGTTTGCAGATGATACCAAGCTGGGAGGGGTTGCGACTAATCTGGAGGATAGGGTCATAATTCAAAATGACCTGGACAAATTGGAGAAATGGTCTGAGATAAATAGGATGAAGTTTAATAAAGACAAATGCAAAGTGCTCCACTTAGGAAGGAACAATCAGCTTCACACATACAGAATGGGAAGCGACAGTCTGGGAAGGAGTACGGCAGAAAGGGATCTAGGGGTTATAGTGGACCACAAGTTAAATATGAGTCAGCAGTGTGATGCTGTTGCAAAGAAAGCAAACATGATTCTAGGATGTATTAACAGGTGTGTTGTGAGCAAGACACGAGAAGTCATTCTTCCGCTCTACTCTGCGCTGGTTAGGCCTCAATTGGAGTATTGTGTCCAGTTCTGGGCACCGCATTTCAAGAAAGATGTGGAGCAACGAGAATGATTAAAGGTCTAGAGAACATGACGTATGAGGGAAGACTGAAGGAATTGGGTTTGTTTAGTTTAGAAAAGAGAAGATTGAGGGGGGACATGATAGCAGTTTTCAGATATCTAAAAGGGTGTCATAAGGAGGAGGGAGAAAACTTGTTCATCTTGGCCTCTGAGGATAGAACAAGAAGTAATGGGCTTAAACTGCAGCAAGGGAGGTTTAGGTTGGGAGGCTTAGCAAGGGAGGAAAAAGTTCCTAACTGTCAGGGTGGTCAAACACTGGAATAAATTGCCCAGGGAGGTTGTGGACTCCCCATCTCTGGAGATATTTAAGAGTAGGCTAGATAAATGTCTATCAGGGATGGTCTAGACAGTATTTGGTCCTGCCATGAGGGCAGGGGACTGGACTCGATGACCTCTCGAGGTCCCTTCCAGTCCTAGTATTCTATGATTCTGTGAAGTACCTGGTGCTGCTGTATGTTTCTCATTATTCCTGGAGATCTAAGGCCTCCTTTTCCTCTCACCCCAGTACAAATCAAGAGTGTCTTTACTGAAGTTAGTGCAGTCACACCACTGTAAAACCAAAGTGAGTGGAGAATTGGGCCCTAACAGTATTCCCTCTAATTTTTCCATTCACGTGCAGAATAAATTTTGTTATGTGCACCAAGGCATGTGCAGATGTGAATCACTAGTAGAAACACAGCTCGGAGGCATATGAATCTCATCTGCGTGGCCACCCAAGCACTCAGCTTACAGGGAACACTGGGCCAGTACAGGAAGAGAGCAACAAATATTTTCACATAAACAGAGTGAGTTCTTCTTGGAAGTTATTGGGAGGCTGGAGTTACAGTGTTTGTTGTTCAAATATTCATACAAGCACTGTTTGTGAGAATGTTCAGGAATCCTAAAAGTTTTGTGATTTTAACACAAATCTCATAAATTCATATCTGAAAGTTAGCCATAATTTACTTGCTATTCCCCTGTTTAAAAAATTTCAGTCAGCTAATGGTGTATTAGATACGTTAACATGTGACTTAAGTGACCAGTCAGGGCCAGTTCATGAGCAATTGGCAAGCAATAAAGAAGGCCTACACAGCAGAATACAGACTCCATCTGCCTCTTATGGATGGTGCAGGGGAAGGTGTGTAACACGTTTTCCTGTAGTTTCTACATCTGCTGACCTGGTAAGAAGCTGCCTTGAGTGGTCCAAGAGTGAACTGTCCCTCCCCCTTCTCAGCACTGGGAAGTTGTAGAGATACAGGGACTATAAGGGAAAGTGGGGAGGGTAGTTGAAGCAAAATGCAGGACAATGTAGCACTTTAAAGACTAACAAGATGGTTTATTAGATGATGAGCTTTCGTGGGCCAGACCCACTTCCTCAGATCAAATAGTGGAAGAAAGTAGTCACAACCATATATACCAAAGGATACAATTAAAAAAATGAACAAATATGAAAAGGACAAATCACATTGCAGAACAGAAGGGGGATGCGGGGGGGTGGGAAGGGGGAGAAAGGAAGGTAAGTGTCTGTGAATTGCTGATATTAAAGGTAGGGAGAGTGGGATGTTTGTGAGTTAATGGTATTACAGGTGATAATTGGGGAAACTGTCTTGGTAATGGGTGAGAAAGTTCAAAGTCTTGTTAAGTCCTTGTTGGCAAGTGTCGAATTTTAACATAAATGACAGTTCAGAGGATTCCCTTTCAAGTGCAGATGTAAAAGGTAGGTAAAAGGTAGGATGGGGAGGGTAGGTGATAACTAGATACTGCTCCCTGAGCTTAGGTTGTTAGCTGATCTCTTGAATCACATAGTGAGTCAGTGCTGATATATGTACCTGGCCCAATGAGGTGAGAATGACAGCTAGTGCAACCCCATGCAGTGTCTTTGGGGATCACGGCATGAAACATATGAATATTTTCTGAATGATTGTGCCCTGCAGCATGGAAAGGAGTTGCCACAGCTCCTTTAGGAACTAAAACAAGTAGAAAAAACTTAAAAAACAACAAATAGTCTCATAGCACCTTAAAGACTAACAAAACATGTAGATGGTATCATGAGCTTTCATGGGCACAACCCACTTCTTCAGATGACCAGCTGAAGTCCTGTTACAGACTAACTCGGCTACCCCTCTGAAGCTTTAAAACCAGTAGGGTGGGCTGATTACCTAAGGGAATAGTAAATGGCACCACACTAGGGAGCCAGATAGGGAGGTCAGCATATACTGGTTTAAAGTGGGTTTTCTAGAGGCTCAGGCAAAGAAAGGGTGCCATACTTTAACTAACACAGTCCCTTTGTTTTGCGTCAGTAAATGGACAGGACCCTTTGTCCAAAGGAGGGCCCTAGCACTTGAGGAGGGTTTGGAAAGGGTGTTGGGTCCCATAAGGAAGAGGGTGATTCCTGGTATGTTTGTTAATAATCACATAGGAACTTTTTGGTTTTACGTTTTTTCTGTGATGCTTTTGTCCTTAAAATGTAGTCAGCTGAGAGAGAGCTGGATGGTATTTTGTAGTGGCTGGCATTGTACTGTTCATAACTCTCAGGCAAATAGCTCAGCACAGGGGTTGGCTTACAGGCAAACCAGTTTACTGGGGGTATCACAGGAAAGGCAGGGAATTATGCAGCCTTACCACACCCCGCCAGAAGGAAGTAGGACAATGGTTCCTGTCAGAGAAGGGATGGCTGGAGGCCAGAGACCTGGCTGGGCACCATGGAGCGGATACAGGTGCATGTAGAGATATAATTCTGTAAGATTGAGATTTGGAGACACTCCCACATAAGGGGCTGTGTTGTCTGGGGATTAGGAGATGTGCAGCTGGTGAGGGAGAGGCTGGGAACCCTGCACAGATATTGCAGCAGTTTCCCAAAGACACTCCCATTTGTTTTATTAAAATTTTATTCCTTTCTCATTCACTGACTTGTTGTTTAATGAACCCCCAAGATCGTTACAGTGTCGTTCTCTGAAACAGAGAGATCTCTAGGTTTCAAGAAGAGTCAGTGATGGTCCCTCTAGCCTGCTTCCCCAGTGGGCTGGAGCTGCCAGGAGATCCTCCTGCAGTGGAGATAGTTGACATAGTGCCCTGTATTTCCTGGGCCTAGGAGTTGCCCACCTCAGCAGCAATCAGATCACCTCAGAGCCAGTGATTTCTTTGGGTCAGGTCACTGACTACAGGCAACTCAACCAACTTTTTGCAGGAGCCCTCATCAGTTTGGTAAAACAACCTGGAGCCTGCAGGGGAAAGGAGCAGGAAACAAAGCCAGACTGGGAAACAGGATTTCAGCTCAGATCCTGGATCAACATAGTGTGTTACACTATGAAGTAGCGGAGAAAACTCATGGTGACCAATGGGAGGGGCAGAGATGTACTTAATTGATTAATCCCAGGAGAAACCATTCCCTGTTCTTATTATACATCCTTAGGGAAAATCCTGCCTGGTCTCTCCAGCTTCTCCTCAGAGTGCAGGGGCAGAGTCCCTCGCCCCCTGCTCTTGCCCCACACCCACGCCCTAAGGAAATGTGTCAAAGCAAATCCAGAATTGGGAAACTGCACAGAAAAGTAAAACGTTTCAACAGAATACTCCAAAGTTTCAGGGACTGGTGGGTGTGTTTACTGCGGAATACAAGAGGGACTGTTTCTACATTATATCATGTGACTCAATGTATGGATTCACATCAGCCCAACGTGTAAACACATGTGAAACATTCACAGAATCCCTATGCAAGTTACACAAACTGTGTGGGCTTGGAGCTGAGAGCTAGGGGGAATCCCCTGCCATCTACTTCCTCCAGGCTGTGAAGGGGACTAGACCTAATGAAGATGGATAGGGAGAAAGATGCAGGAAGGGAGGGATAGCTCCTTTTTCTTCTCCTACCCTAGCCCTATAATGACTCTGGTGAGCTATTTGTTGTACCTGGACCTATGATTCCCCCCCCCCCCCCCCGCGACCACACTCACTACTCCTCTTTGTTCCCCCCCCCCCCCCCCGGCTAGTATCTCTAGATTCCCTGGTATCTCTAGGAGGAGAGGAGTGGAATATCCAGTTCCAAACTGGGTCCCGTTTGACTCACCAGATCCTTGGAGGTGCCCAGCCTCTTTAAGCCATCCAGGGGCAGCAGATCAGCAGAATCCTTGTGCACGAACTGGGTGGCCTGTTTCAGGTGCCTCTTCTGTTGCAGGATGGCTTTATCCTGCAGCTCCACATCTCCCTGTTTTCTCTCCGGATCTTGAGTGTCTTCACTCTGCTTTTCCTCCCCATCTCCTAGCCCCACTTCCTGGACATAGGTCTCCCTTGTGCTCATGGCGAAGAGTCCAGCTAGGTAGGTCTTTTTTGGGATGGCAGAGTGCTCTCTAGGCTCCCTCTCTGTGTTTGTCTGCTCTCCTGTGACTCACTCAGGATCTCTGCTCTCCCTTTCCCCTTTATCTATCTCATCTGTAGCTGCCCCATCACTGTGGTATCTAGATGCCCTTCTCTCTTTCTGGCTTCCTCCTGCGCTCCGCTCTTTTCCTCCCTCCCTTCTCCTGCCCTGACTGCAGCTCTGCCTCCTCCAGCCGGTGGGTCCCTGCTGTAGCAGAAAAAGCCCCACGTCAGAAACCAATTTCCATAAATTGCAGCAGAGACGGTAAGATGCTTCAGCTGGAAAAATCCAGCAGCAGAAGGATGGCCCTGCTGCTGGGGGTTGGACTCACCTTCCTCCTGCTTTGTCTGTATGGGTGCACACACATACTGTCCTGTTCCCCACTGATACGCCAGAGAGACTGTAAATCTTTCTGTGGCAGGCTGTGCTGTTCAGAGTCTCTGCCGGGGTTTTTGACGCATCTCAGTAAGTCTATTAATACTGGAGAGAACATACTTTGCTCTAGGAGATGATGTAAAGGGAAAAGCTTTAGCCTCCAGGGTTCTGTCAGGCATGCCCAATCTCTCTTATTTGAACAGAGAGTCATATATTTGGGATGGTTTTTAAAGCCAACGTGGAGGATTTTACTGTGTGTTTCCAGTGAGACACAGAAGGCCTGCTTTTTTGCTCACACCAGCACAACTGCATTGGGCCTGACTCTGATCTCACGGGAGTAACTCACTGAAGCCAGTGCCTTGTGTGAGTGTAAAATCAGAGTGAGATCAGCAGCAGGCTCACTCAAGTCAATGCAGCTACTCCTGATTTACACCTTCGAGATTTGAATCTTTCTGTTTTGACTCTCACCTGCTGAAATAGGTGCAGTTTGAGAGCCGTGCTTCAGTCCCTGATGTAGGGGCAGGGACAGACAGCAGGTTTTACCCTCCACCCCTTTTTGTGTCTTTCCATCTCTGCTTTGAATTGTCAGCTGAAGTTTGGTCTGTTTTGGTCCCCCTGTAAGCCAGTGTAATGCTTTGAGAGTCACAGAGTGCATGATTCCGATTTCACATGCACAAGAGCAAATCAGGAATGTCTTCCCCGAAATCAGCAGCATTACATTAGTGTCACACGATGTGAATGAGAGTAGAATTGGGCTCTAGGCATTTAATTCTATAAGATCAAATCCTGAAGTCCTTATTCAGGCAAGCTACCATTGATCGCATTGAATGGCTCTTCATTTTTGTAGATGTTCCTACCCAAATCCAAGGAGGCATTGAATTGCAAGGAGCACTTCAAATATCTGGGTGGCATGACTACAAGGGATGCTAAACATCACTCAGATCTGAAATAGCATTGGACTCATGACTGCTACTCTTGTGACATGCAGCCACGTTTGGAGAAGCAGAGTTATTACCATGAAGTGTAAAAGGAAATTGCTGCTGTTTCTTGTCTTCAGCCTCTTGCTATGTGAGTGCAAGGCATGTGAATGCTTGGGAAGCCAAACATTATGAGCTTTAGGGGGTAGCAGAGTTAGGCTGTGTCTAGACTGCACCCCTTTTGCGGAAAAGGGATGCAGATTAGACACAGCACAATTGCAAATGAAGCGGGGATTTAAATCTCCCCCGCTTCATTTGCATAAACATGGCTGCCACTTTTTTCTGGCTCGGGGCTTTGCCGGCAAAAAGCGCCAGTCTAGACGGGGATCTTTCAGAAAATAAAGCCTTTTCCGAAAGATCCCTTATTCCTGATTTTAAGAGTCTGTAAGAACTCTGAGGTGGCTTTTCAAAGGACTAGTGCCAGGGGATGGGGGTGCCCATGGCTAGTGTGATTCAAGAGTAGGGCTTCCTGGATGGAATGCTTCCTGATGCACCTTTTAAGGCTATGGGAAGACTGTGAAATATGGAGGAAGATTGCTGGGTGGTATATTTACTGTTATTTGTGATCTGACTTTAATTCATAATAGCTGCAAGTAGACTCTGGGCTAACATTGGAGGTATGAATGTTCCCAGGGAAGCCACATCCCACACTGTTATTCCCTTGCTCATGGGTTGTTACAGTTATTAGGTTAATTGCACTTATCCTGGTCTCTCCAAGTGCTCCTCCATTCAGCTCTCGGGCCTCAGGCTATCATCGCTCCCTGGATAGAATCACACAGTTCTCCTGTTCTTAGACTGGGCTTTGAGTTGCAAGCTGATTGGCTCATCAGGCCTGACTTACGCTCAGACCCTGCAGTTCTGCTCACTCTGCAAAGAACGACAGTGGTACCGAGTGGCTAGGCAGCCATTTGGGAGCAAAGTAGTATTAATTAGAGCAACAGCACCTGAGAGAAAAACAAACCCAAGAATAATAAAATAGACTTTGTGCATGACTAGTATGATAGATAGCTAACCATCTTCTACATGGGGACCCTGGTAAATCTAATTTTCCAGAGGTATGCCAAGATCTCTAGGGTCTGGCTGGCACAGTCACAATCACCCCCATTTCTTCAAACACCATAACTTTTTAACTTCTTATACCCCTTTGATCTGTTAGATCCCAGTCTTGATGGAACAGGACTTGCATCTTATTAGAAACATGGTGTAAGATGTCCAAAGGTAACGGCTTTCCCACTGACTTTCAGGTGTGTGCTGGAGTGTCCTTATTTGGGGCGATTGTTTTCTTCCTGTTTCTTCTTTCCAAAGTCCCCTCATAATCTAAATCAATGCATTCACAGAGGAAAGTCTTATAACCCATAACACAAAATCTCACCACCCACACCAGGTCATACAGAGTGCTCTTAAAATTGTCATATCTCAAAATTCTTGACTTATGACACCACAGTTTCTCTTCCATCACAAAGGTGGCCCTTCAGTGTTCTGCTGGCTCTGCCTGGTCTGAGATACCTGCAGAGGATAAAAGCTTTACTACTAACAGCTAATGAAGATTCCCTTTTAGCTCAAGTGTTAAGAGGCTTGTGGGGTGGTTTTGTTTGTTTGTTTGTTTGTTTGTTTGTTTGTTTGTTTGTTTTTGAGCTAAAGATTCTGGCATCTTACTCAGAAGCCACAGTTATACCTCTTTTGTGCAGCAAAAGTAAATTTGGGTAAATTTGTCATGCTTGGAAGCACCTGAGAGGCACTGAAGAATTTTTAACCAGTTCCCTCATTTGTGAGTAAAAGTCATTGGAAGCTGCCAGGTGGGAATTCAACACACCTAGCCAAAAAACAAGAGACGGAATACATCCCTTCTAGCAGCATGTGGTGAGGGCAAGTGGCAGTAGCCAGGGTAGGTGAGGAGTGAAATTCCCGGAGTGGCATTGAGGAGAAGATGATCCCAGAAGATGAAGGAGTGGGAAACAAAGTGAATGGGATTCTCCTTCCATCTGCGTTCTGGGATATGGAGCCAGAGAAAATAAGGCTGTTGAACTTTGAGGTGCCACAAGAAAAAAGCTGAAAACTCCAGTGCTAGAGTCCCCCTGCATCATGCCTTGCACTGGAGACTTTCCGTAAATATTGTGTCTGATAGAGTCATAGATGCTGGAGATGAGAGATTTACTTAATCATAGCCCATCTCTCAGAGTATGTCTACACGACAGAGTTTTTTCGGAAAAACAGCTGTTTTCCCCACAAAACCTGCATTACGTCCACATTGCAATCGCGTTCTTCCAAAAGTAAATTGAAAGAACAGAAGGGTTTTTCCGGTGTTGGTAATCCTTTTTCTATGAGGAAGAAGCCTTTTTCTGAAAGAGCTCTTTTGGAAAAAGGCATGTGTGGACGGGGAGGAGGGGTTTTTTTTGTTGTTTTATTTTTTTTTATATTTTTTTGCAAAAGAAGAGGCCTCCAGGAAATAATACAGGTGCCCTGGTGGACACTCCATCCAAATTAATCAGGACTCTATAGTTCCTGTCTCCTGACCCCTCTTAAAGCTGCAGGCACCCTGGACAAGCCTTGTGGCAGGAAACCAGCCTGAGAGCAGCACCTCGCCACACGGTTCTCCCTGCCACAGGCCTGGCAGAGCCTCAAGCCCCCTGCGACCCTCCTGGCCCTCACAAGGAGCAGTCCCAGGGATCCCAACACCCACCCAGGGGGACCAAGAGGCGGGCACCCTCCTAGTCTTGAGTGGAGATCCTGACCCTCCTCAAGCTGTGGGGTCTCTGCTCCAGGCAGTAAAACGCTGGCATCTATGAGCGCATGGCTGCATCCCTGGTGGAGTGCGGACACCCACCCTGGACCTTGGAAAATAAGGTTAAAGAGCTCTGTCAGGTATACGTCTGAGCCAGAGAGCACAGCTTGCGCTCAAGGGCAGGACCCCACACCTAATCCTATTACCAGGAGCTGCACCAGATCCTGTGAGGGAGGGACATCTTCCCCACCCATTGTCGTGGACTCCAGCCTCCAGACCCCTGTCGTTGCCTGCCCTGAGGTCATGGCAGAGGAGGAGACGGACACCATGACCCTGTCCCTGGAACCAGTGCTGATCAGCCAGGACGTCTCCCAGGCCTCATTGGACGCCAAGGAAGGATCTTTGGGTGAGTGGTCTCGGTTTGTCACACACTCAGGATGGGGGAGGCAGGCGCACAGGGGGCACAAGGGTCCATGAGGAAAACCCTGACGGTGGACTTCCCCATGCCAAACTGGTTCCCCACCAACTGGTGGCGAGCTTACAGAGGGCGATGGCGACCCGCTGCTCCAGGGAATAGCAAGCTGCAGGTGGGTGTCCCATTTCCGGAGGGCAAGGACAAACCAGGCACATAGCTCCAAAAAGGTCACCTTCCGAATGCAAAAGTTTTGGAGTCACTGCTGGTCATCCCAATGCTCCATGACCAGCCGGTTCCACCAGTCAGAACTGGTGTTGAGCCTCCAGAAACACGTCTTCACACTGGGTTGCGGTTGCCAGAGTGTAGCTCCTGCACCCAAGAAGAGGGTCACTAGAATGAGTATGGGGTCCAGCTCGGTTAGGACCAGGAAGGCGGCTGGCATAAAGTGCTGCAAAAACTGCAGCATGGCCGTGTGGAGCCATCGCATGCCCTGGGGCAGCTCCGGCTCCATGGTACAAAAGCAGGAGCTGTAGCGTCCACAAAAGCAGGGCAACCACATTAGGCACTGCAAGAGCTTTGCTGTCCCCCAAAGAGGTAGGCAAGCACGCAGCAGAAGCAGATAAACGGCTGTCCGGGGGGGTCCTTTTAAGCACGTGTCTCTGCAAGACTCCAGCACCAGCATTCAGAAGGAACTGGTGACCTAAAGCCCTTGCTGAAGTGGTTCTAGGTGGTCTTTTATGCAAGAGAGCGTCCAATCAGTGTGGACACTCTCTTTCGAAAAAGCGCATTGCTTTTTCTGTGCATTTTTGTGTGTGGATGCTCTCTTTCGGAAGAAGTTTTTTCGAAAGATCTCTTCCAAAAAAAGCTTCTTCTGAAAGAGCCTGCAGTCTAGATGTAGCCTCAGGGAGCAATGCAGCACTATTCCCTATAGCACATAGTCTAGCACAGAGGTGGCCAACCTGCAGCTCGCGAGCCACATGCGGCTTTTCCCCCCTTAAAGTGCAGCTCGCAAAGCCTCCCCTGAGTCCCTAGAAATGGCCCCTGGCTCCCTGTACTCACCGGGGCAGAGGAGCTGTCTGGTGTGGTGACTCAAAATGGTGTCCAAAAAGCCTTGTCTTTTAAAGGTGCAGTGTCCTTTTTTTTTTTTTCCTTTTGCTCAACAACTCTGCGGAATGGTGGGGTGCTCTTCCTTTTTTTTTCTCAACAACTCTGGGGGGCTGGATGGGAGCTCTTCCAACAAAAATTGTTGCTCAAAAAAAAATTCTGGTGTGGCTCTTCACATTTTTTCCGCCGCTGTTTCGGCTCTCTTCATTTAATGGGTTGGCCACACCTGGTCTAGCACTCTGTCCAGGATAGTTTTTAAAGTCACAAGCCATGGAATTTCTACCACTTACTGCCTGTTTTATAGCATCTTGCTGATAAACCCTTCCTATCTAACCTAACCTCCTTTTTCTTAACTCTTCCCCCAATTATTTTACCACTTTAAAGCCATCTTTGGCTTTTTTATCCAATTCAAATATCTGTTGTCTATTAATTTGTCTTGTCTGAGGACTTGCACAATCCAGGGGGAAGTTGGGTCAAAAGTAACTTTAAAGTATCTTTGCATGATTCCATCTCTGAGCTACTAAGGGATCAAAACAATCCCCAACATAATATAGGCAGTGCACGGGCTTTCACTACATTACACTAGACTCCCACAAGGCACAATGGCCATAGCAACATATGCTATTGCCTCATTCACAATATGACCCCATTCCCAGGGTCTTGTGTTGGGTGAGGCCAGTGATGGGTTGCCTATGTTGGCCAACACAGAGTGACAGACATTGCAACCACAAGTAATATATTTGGGGACCTGTGATGGGTTGGATCAGAGAAGCCCCCTTGAGGTTTTCCTGGTGTAGAGGTATGATGGATAGGAGGAGTACTGGCCAGCATTCAGTGACTAACGGGTTAAATTCAGGTAGTTAAGGGGTATTGGCAGGGAGCCAGGAGAACCAATGGGAGAGGATGTTGAAATTTGAATGAAAAGATATATCTGGCTGTCATGGAAAATGGGAGGGGTTCCAGAAGACTGGAAA